TCGATGCCGCCGCCCGGGAGAAGGGCAGAGCTCTGCCTCGGCCGCGCCGAGGGGCCTCTCTCTCCTCGGAGCGGTTGGCGCCGTACAGCCGTCCAACCGGGATTCCGCCGGAGGGTTGTCCGTGCGTGTGCCCAAATCGGATTTCTTTCATTTTTTTTAAAGTTTTTTTTCCTTTTTTTTTTTTTTTGAATGGGGGGGTAGGTATTGTTTTCGTTATCGTTGCTGCCGCTGCTTCTTCGTGTCGTAAGTGTCGCCCGGATTTTTGTTTCCTTCGTTCAGACGCTGCACGTTCCGAGAGGGGGAGAGAAAGGTTCACCAACCTGACACCTTTCCGAACATCAGCCCATCTCCTTCCACTGCTTGTAGAACTCCAGAACGTTTTTTATTTCTACGCTGGCGTTGGCGGCTGCCTGGATGGCAGACTGCAAGCAGAGACAAAAAGAGTGGGTTGGATTTTGATTCCCTTCACAACTTTCAGAGCTCTTTTTCAGGGTTAAAAGGACCAATTCTCGTTGGCGCTAAAGCTGGAGAGGCCCACGCGGGCGTTCTCCTGCCTTTCCCGGGCTGCTCTGTACCACAGAAGTGTGTAGAATTAATCCAGGTTGGAAAAGCCCCCTGGGCTCATCGAGTCCAACCACTGCCCCTGCTCTGCAAAGCTCACCCTAAACCATCTTCCCCAGCCCCACATCTCAGCGAGCTTTAAACACCTCCAGGGATGGGACCCAACCCCCTCCCCGGGCAGCCTGTGCCAGGGCCTCTTAGGAAACACTCTCAGCAAAGAATTCACTAAGGGGAGACTCAATCCCCTCTCATCCAGGTCATCAGTTAAGATGTTGAACAGGACTGGGCCCGGGACACCACCGACACCAACTGGATGCATTAGGGTTATTACCCAAGGCAGGAAAAAATTAAAAAACGCAACCAACCCCCAAATTAAAAAGAAAAATTAAATCTCTTGCCAATCAACCAGACTTTAATCTTGCTCAGCAGAAAAGCTCAGCTCAGCCAAGGAGTCGCTGACCTGCATGGGCGCCGAGAACACGCTCGGGTCCTCCAGCTGGAAGCCCGTGATGATGGTGACCATCCCCGTGGTGTCGTCTTCGCCGCTCCCTTGGGACACCGTGAGCTGTTTGCAGCTGTCCAGTATCTTATAGAGATTCCTGCCCGAGGGACGCAAGAAAAGAGAAACACCGAGGGGAAGGTCAGAGGCGACTTGTTTGCGCCAACGCGCGCCAGGGGACATGCGGGAAGCGGGACTCTTGGTCTGTTGCCCACTGAGGGTGTTTCCAAGAGTCTTCTCAGCACCGAGCACTTGGTGCTACGAGGGATGGACAGACGGACGCCCTAACACTCTCTCTAGGGAATTTTATAATTAACATGAGTCCCAGCGCTATCGCCTCCCTCCAAAGCCACCCGCCTGCTGGGAGCTGGGTTCAAACACCTCCACACGCTCTCTTCTTACCAGGCATCTAAATCTTGTCTCTTCAGTTTATGCCTCTCAAAGCTCTTCCCAACGTCTTTCTGGCAACGGATGTACCTAAGGACAGACGAGAGCTGCGGAGACAGGCGCGCAGACACGGACAGAAGCTGGGTGCCATGCGACCCTTTCACAACGCTGGCTTTTATCAGCCAGAACGACACCCAAAGGCCCGCCCAAGAAGTCCCTTAGATCACCTCCCGTCTCGTCACCTTTGCCGCACGTGGTCCGCAACACCCAAATCACACCCAATTCCAAAAGCACCGCGTCGCTCTCCCACTCTCTCACCTGTTTCCCTTTTTAAACTCCGCCTCCAGATACCGGATGCTGTCCCGAGCACCTGCGTTCTCCTTTTTCAGGAAGTCCAAGCCATCGATCACTGACAGGAAAAGAAAAAAAAATAATAAAGAAAGAAGGAAAACCATCTGGCTTAGAGCTCTACTCCTGCAAACTAATCTAGACACGTCAAGAATTCTTTCTTCCACTGAACTGTCTCTG